GCCAAATTAAATGAAGTAATGTTTCACACCCCCAAAGTTTCTTGCTTGAGAATCAAAAATAAAATTGAAATTTCCTTTTCTTCAAAAAAAAAAGAGTAAAACGTGAATTATATTTATATAAATATAAATTTTGCCCTTTGTCGTCCATTGTCTTGGGGTGTGGATCATGTGGTTCTCGTCATTTTCCATAGCAGTGAGCTTTATTTTATGAGGTTTTCTTGCTCTAACCATACAGAAAAGGGACAAGACTCTATGGTGAGAGAGAGATGTATGCTAGAATATTGATGAGGAGATATTAAAGGAATATTTTCATATAAATTTTAATCTTGTTATAATTAAACACCCTAATTACCTCTTAGATTAATCCATTTCAATAATCTAAGCTCCAAGTCTTACTAATTTATGCAACTATCTAATACTCATCCGCAACCCTTTGAGACACTTCTCCAGTTGGAAAATTGTGCCAAAGATGGAGAGAGAAGGATCCATAATGTCGAATATTATCTAAAATAAATATTTTAATGTTCAATATTTAATTGTTAAATGCAATATGAAGGTGTGGTTCATCGTTTTAAGATCTTCTTTGATAATAATATTTTAATACTTGAGACTTAATTAATAATTAAATATGATCTAAAGATATTGATTCATGATTTTGTTTTAAATTAATATTATAAAACTTATATCTCAATGATAATAATATCATAAATTTCGTAACAATATGAGATAAAATGGGTATTTAATTTAAAGTAAGAGTCTTTCTCAAATTGATAGACATGTTTTTAGGGTTGAAACTGTGAACTCATGACATATAATATCGAAACTTATTTTTAACTTTTTACTTATGTGAAACCCTTAAATAAAATGCCATAGTTGAGGTAAGGTCAAACTAAGGTAAATTCTTTTTTTTTTTTTATGAGTAAAATAGTCAATGCAATGAGAGTGTTAGAATAGAATGTCACGAATTATGTGTCAATAAAAACGAATTCCTTTATCAAGATTTTAATTTGAATTGATTTTAAATTTATTATATAGTATGAATATGAGCAACTTTTTTTTTTCATTTATTTTACATAGTATAGAAATATCAAAATTCAATTAGCTAATTAGATAGAAGGACTCAATTGCACAAAATTTCAGAATATAAAACTAAATTAACTAATTTTTGTTAAAAAAATTAAATTGAAGAAAATTCTATAATATATGTATTTACGTGCTACTTTGATAATATTTTATTACATAAGAGCTAATTATTAAATACAATATAAAAAATTTGATCTATCACTTTAAAATCTTAAATAATATTAATTACAATATGTGATCCGACGTTTTAAGAACTTCCTTAATAATTATATTGAGAGCCAATTGATCAATTACAATTCGTTGCTCATAAAAGCTATGGTCCATACATTGTTACAATTAAAAAAATACAGCTAATTAAATTTGGAAGAAACTACAAAATATATTCAAATTTATAATATATATATTTTTTTCAAAGGTAACCTTTAATGGGTTTTTCGAAATGTAGATAAATGGTATTGTCATTAATTTATTTCAACCGATTAGCCTTCTCTCTGATATCTATTTATATACAAATTCAGACGTCAAAAATCTTGATTAATACAAACATTCTGTATTAATATATTTTTATTGAAAATTAGTATTATAAATTTTATATTTTGATAGTGTAAAATGTGTTTTTTAAAGTTAGGAATTGAAAAAATCAAATAATGAAACATCTTATTCAATCAATTTGATGAGATACAAATGCCGGTTGGTGACCGTAATACTTATCAAAGAAATTAAGCAGTAATGGATTCCTATCTTATATATATATTTTTAAATTTAATGTCATCCATGACGTGGACCACATCGAAAATTTAAAAAAAAAATCGATTAAATTGTTAAAAACGAATATTTGTATATTTGTTTTTTCATTGTTGAATTTCTTTCATGATGAACGTGTTAGAATCTAAACGAAAAACTTGTAATTCTTCAATTGCTTTGAAAATGAGTAAAACGTAATTTGTTTGGAGTACAAAATAAGATACGAATTTACTTGTTATTCTAATCAGATTAACTCAAGCTTACAACCCAACCTGACCAATCCCAAAGCGGATCCAACTTATCCAATTGCTGCCTATGCACAGCCATAATTGGATTATGCAATAGCAATGGCATGAATAAGGATGAGCATTTTAGGATGAAGTGGTTACTTGTCCTAGTCGAACATAAATCTCCAACCGAATAGTGTTGCAGTTCTATCATCCCAGGCTGACAGCATTAAAGCACTAGTTATGGTTATAAACATGTGATGGAGGTGAGAGAATATACAGGGTTGGAAGTGACTGGACAGTAGATTAGTCTCTTCTTTTAACTTCTCCTTGCCTATATCTTAGCCTTTGTGAACCACTTATTGAACAGCATTCAGCAAAAAGCCTAGTGTTTCGGGATTTTTATCTAAAACTCACATCCTATGAATATGGTGTCACCTGAGTTAACCTCAAAGTACAATAAATTTAAGTTAAGAGACACAGAATTAATACTCATTGAATTTGCTATGGATAATTCATTAACACCTTGGCAAAGCTGAGCTAGCTGCTGCCTCCAGCAAACTAAAGAGGGGGAAATTGATGAAAGTGGAATATACAGATATCGAGAATCTAACATTTCTGAATTCGTTTGAACGGGGATTTAGGCCAAAAGGATAAGTTGAAAAGTAGTTTGCTTCAGCAACAGCCACGTGCTCTATGGGACCTGGAGATCAAATAGTTTGCTCATCATTGCCTTGGTATCAAATGGCCAGTGCAAGTTTGGGTGGCTCTAGTCTAAACAAACATTGCTGTTTGTCAGCTAGCTGAGTTAATGACGATTGTGAAGCTGAAGTTTCTGAATCTGTCAAATGCTGAAGATTCTCAAGCAGCTGGAAGATTAATGCTTCCTTTCAAGCAGATTAAATGTATGTTTCAGTTTTTAGCTAAGGTTGTTATAATACTTTGTCAATTGTCAAGGTTTCAGTTTTACCTAAAGGGATGTTTGGTATTGTAGCTAAGTAATGTCTTTTTCAATCCTCATAAAGTTCCGATGCATCAACCTCCATTATCATGGGGCCAGAATCAAGAAACTTGGATAATTTAGAATCATCAGAGCCTCTGGTCTTACACTTTCTAAGCCTTGCAAGATTTTTTCAAGCAAATCATGCTTCACACTTCATCAATATCATTTGGACTTCAAAATCCTCAAAAGATTTTTATTTTCTTAAAACATTTATGATCACATATTCACATTGATCAAACTTCTTAACTCTTCCAAATACATAAGAACATGGAAAGTTGCATAATACACCACTCACCCAGTTTTCTAACTGAAACACCTCTGCAATCAATAAGTAACATAAGCTTTTTATATGTTCTACATAACAAGCCACGAAAAGCCAAACGTAAACACCAAGAACATAGTTATGCTGCTGGTTTCTTGATAAATTACAGTGACATTTTTCCAGCATCTATCATATTTATGACAAGTGCCTCCATAGTGCAGGGCGATCTCTGGATATCAAGAGAACACGAGATGCCAAGTAGTCAAAAGAAGGGGAATATAAGTTATCTGGCCCAACAATCTCTCTGACATCTTGAGCATTGCCATAATCATAAATGAAAGACTGCAGCCCGTCATCCTTCAAAGCATCGAAGACGAAAAGCCCCAGCCCACAAACACCCATGACAAGGTTTGAATTTCCCCAAACCTGTGTTATGGCTGAATAATGGGAGTGAACATTCGATTCAGGCAAAGAATAAGTATTGAGCAGCCTTTGTTTGCGCAATGAGAACTGTTGCACTTGAGAACAGACCTCCTTTGTTCCTGATGATCTCACATTTGTGCATCCAAGAAAGATCGAATTCCCTCGAGAGAAAACTGACTGCACATTAACACCACCTTTTGCTATTTTCGCACCTATACCAGATGGGTGGCGAAAATCCAAGATATTAATAGAATCAGGAGTGCAGAATACACCATCATTTCCTTCAGCTTCTGAGGAACTTACTCTGCAATAAAGATTTTGTCAACATTAGGACCCAAATAGGAATTTTTCTGTGCTTTCTTTTCTTCTTACATGATATGAAAACAGGTATATGCAAGGCAACATTACATTAAGCAATTGCAAATTATAAGCAACAAAATTTATGTGAGATAGTAAAATAGTGAATGGTAACTTATATTTGTTAACATCAATAAAAGCAAAAATAGTTCCACAAGAAATATTCTGCTGAGAAACTAGAAAACAGCCAATGGAAAAATAATTTGAGATAATCAAACAAAAACATGGGATAAAGTTCTGACCTTTGCCTAACTCCTCCACCTATCTCAGCATCAGTGTTATTTACATGAAGAGCCGATATTTTTCGACCAGATGAAGAGACTGATAGTAATGTCTGAGGATGTAGAGAGTTCACATCCCAGACAGAAATCATTTCGGCTTCTGCTATGACTACCTTTCCTCTGTTTCTCCACTGCAGTGGACTTGAATAATCCATTGTTGATACAGGCTTCTGCACCTCCCACTTCATTATTTCCTCACCATCACGGACGTCATATACTTTGACAACCTTCTGAGAGCTTGCAGTTGAGATGATAAGAGGGCCACATGGTTTATACCACCACTGCTGAGTTTCTGGTGATAAACTATTGCAAAATGTGTTTCTTCTATACAAAGCGTTATTTGGTAAGGGACCAAGTACCGTTCTCGAAGCTGTTTCCTCACAGTCAATGTGGAAAGCTCGCACATCTTTGGTATAGAAATCCCATGAGCAGAATCCTGATTCTAAAGAATTCCCAGCAGATGCAGCCACAACATATCTCCCTGAGCAACCATCTGCACTAGGAGCACGGATAATCCAACAATCTCTCCATATGTTAGGTGGGACACCTGCTGGAGGCTTGTATACTGCCTTCTCCTGAAATTAACAATGGACAATCATTTTAAGATGTTGTAAGTTCTGTCGTGTGTCTATGACTCCATGTATTCATCAACATACTCACATGATATAGAGATGAAAAAGAAAAAAAAAATTAATCAACGATTTTGTAAGAGAACATTTTGGTCATATAATTTCCAAATCAATGCTTCAACAAACTCAAGAATTATTCAATTCCAAGGTTAAATCCATCCAATTTTCTGGAAAACAGAATAAAGCAAGCAATAGAGACATTCAAATAATCAGAAGTATAACTTATTTTATTTCAACATTTCAGTTGGAAAAGAACACAACTGAAAAGACATAATGGAATGCAAATCATCAAACAGAGATGACAAAATACAAAATGATACTTGGATCACTATCATGAAACAACAGAGACAGACATCAGACAAGTCTGTTAGTTGATTAAAGGATATGAAAAAAAAGACAACTTCAAACAGGAACAATAAAGTATACCTCACAGTTAGCAATGTCATAAAAGGAGCATGACCCATCATCATGAGCAAGAAGAACTGCCTCTCCTTCTGACACAAACCATCCTCCAGTTGAAGTCTTGTGGCCAATTTCATTTAGCTGATAAATGTTAGTATCTTCAATCTCCTCACCAGTAACAGCAGTTGGCCTGTTCTCCTGATCATCAAATTCCTCAAGTCTTTCATCTGATTCAAGATTTAACTCTACTCCATGCTTCACATTAAATATGTTCAAAGACCCTTGTACTCCTGAAGCACCATCACCATCCATCTCCTGAGTATCAGAATTCTCCAAACTAACCTGTTTATTCCTTGTGGTGACTATAGTTTGCTCCTTATTAAGTGAAGCCAAGAACTCCAGAGCTATTGGATTATCCTCAATCGGACTCAATAACTTCTTTTCCTCCTTTAATTCGCTACTGGGGTCTAAAGCATTAGAGGGTTCCTGACTTTGGGAGCTCCCTGATGAGTCCTTCAATGATGTACGATTTCTAATCAACTTGTGATGAGGAAACAATCTAGCCTCCAATTCCTCGCTATTCAATTCTTTAACTAAAATTTTAACGTTACCAACCTGCTTACTCTGACTCCTCTCAACTCCTTTCGTACTCACATCTTCATCTCCAGAACCTTTTGAAACACTGGTTTTACCATTCGAATCAGTCACAACATGACTCATAGCCTTTTCAATGCCTGAAATCTTGTCCTGAATATCTGAAAGTATCAGCTTTGATGCATCCGGATTATTCATGTCAAGCATCTCCTTAGTCCTCTTAATATCTGTTGCAATTCTCTTCACCTTCCCCTCTAGAAAAGCAAGCTTTTCATGAAGCTTGCTTGGGTATTTAATACCTACCCCACTGCATCCACTCTCCTGTACACTCAAGCCCTTCTCTTTCGGAACCTCCAAACTCTTTCCACTACTCAAAGACTTCTCTTTTAGAAACTTTGCGTCACATTTCTCATCAATCCTATCGCAAGCTTCAAGTTCTGAACCAAAATCTGAAACACCCTTTTCAACTAAAGCCCCAAAACCCCCATTTGGTTTTCCCAAATCAGAGCTAAATTTAACATCTTTTTTACAATTTCCATCCAAAACTCTAACCCCGTTTAATTTCTTCTCATTTTCCTTCACTTTCATTACCAAATTCTCCCTAAACCCACCATTTTCTTTGCAACCTTTAACACTCAAACCCCTAAAACCCTTCTTTTCCCTATCCATTGAGATCTTGTCTTTCTTCAAATCAGAAAAAACCCTAACAAATTCAGATGGGCTCTGACTCCTACCTCTTGGCGCCGATGATGTAGACCACCGCACCCGGCCTTCACTGTCAGAGCCACCATGCACGGCCGCCGACTTCTCGACACGTGGAACTGGCCGGATCAAGGGCTTCTGGGCCACCACGGAAGCCCGAGAAAGACTGCCGGGCCTTGGGTTTTCTTTGCCGGAAGATGATTTTCTGAGGGTCGGATTGGAGATTGGAGTAAGGGTTTTCGCCGGTTTTTGATTGCCGGTGGTTAAGTGATTTAAGTCTCTCTGCCGGCGAACAGACGACGCTGACATTTTTTGGCGATTAAATAAATTAACGAGAAGTTAATATAGAAACGGCGAAATTTGGGAATTGAAGCAAAGTTTCTGAGTTTAAAGATTGTGTGGGTTTTGGGCGGGAAATGATCGTGAATTTTAAAGTTTGAAAATTTTTGGGAGGGTTGGGCCATCGGAGGGTACCTTTGCCATTTGATCTTGCTCTATTTTTTGTCTCTTGTAAATTCAGCTTCCCCTCTGGGCCGTAGCCCATGAACAAATTTACTTTTTTTTTTATAAATAAGAAGTCTTTATTTTTGCTTGATCGACTTCGAATTACCAGTGGCCATGCACCTGTCAAACCATACAAACCATAGATTTTGAGTTTGGATTCTCTAACAGGAGAGGAAGATTCGACAACAACACTCTCTCACAACTTGAAAATTACAGGACAAAACAGAACGAAACAAATTTTCTCTTGCACAGCATTAAAACAGGGGAGGCAAAGCAGGCAGAACCAGAAGCCATGGCTTCTTTAAGTTCTATCTTTCAAGCCCCGACTTCTATCTTTTCTTCTTCCTCCACTAGCAACTCTCTTAATCTCCAACAAAAAGGATTTCCTTTTCTCGTTAAAGTTGACCGGCATCCTCAAAGGAAGAGAAGCTTTGTTTTGAAGTCAGCTCTTGATGAGGTCAATGTTCTTGACCCGCCACCTCCTCCCAGTGAAGATGCTAAGAGTGAACTCATTGCTTCTTTGAAGCTTAAATTACTGGTAAGTTTGGTAATAATTTCCAGAACCTCTTTCTGGGGTTTTGCTGGATTTTGCTCTTTCTTGCTCAATTATGTGTTTTTGCTGATAATTTTGTGAAGTGGGAACTCCCTTATACTTAAGAGGTCATCCAAGTGTGCCGTTCCCTGATTTTCTTTTTATATAAAAAGTTATAAGTTTCATTTTTTTTAATTCAACTTCAATCTAGGCTAACTCATTGAATTATACCAATGGATTTGTGAATTTGTTACTTTTTTTTTTGTTTTTTCTTTTTTTCCCAGAATGGATGCTTGGAAAGTAGGACATGAAATTAATTCCAGTTTAATATACAAATTCTATGGAATTAAAAAACTTTGCTTCTATACTGTGTTTCTTTTTTTTTTTAATTTCCGGAAGGTGGGAAAGCTTGAATTTTTTATTAGGTGTTGATTCATTGCAATTGATAGATTAAGAGGATTCGGAATTTTGGGATTTTTATACTGTAATTCATAAGTTCCCTAATCTTTTTAGATACTGATAGGGCAGACAAGGTTGCCATCAGCATATAGAAGTATCCATAAGAAATGTAGACCATAAGAATAAATCAAAATGATTATGCCTCAAGATATGGCGTTTGTTTTGGTCTACTGATAAGGATAAAATAGCACCCAAAGAAAGGGGAGGATTTGGAATGCATATGTGATTGATTTCCTTGTTGCATGTAAGATGTATTGGTTCATTATGAAACTTATAAAATTGAGGTGGAGGTGGAGCAAAATGTTTTTTCTATGCTGTCATTCTTTAGGATATCTGGTTTGTCTAGGAGATCTGGGATGCTAATGAGCTCATTCCTCTTAAATATATGATGTCTTTGACCCAAATCTTTCCTGAAAACATAGACACAGTTTTCCAGTAAGTTCAGACCAAGTGAACGCTAGTATTTTCTATCTCAAATACTATCGGGATAAGAACGCACGTATGCAGACATCTCTTTCTTTGTTTGTTTCTTTGTTCCTTTTCTTTTGCCTTTTCTTTTTGTCAGGGGAGGAGAGAAGGGAGGGGGCTAATAGAGTTAATTATATGTTATTGCAGTATGTTGATACATATGGGCTGATTGGATGCAGAGTATTGTTTCTGGGCTGAATAGAGGTCTTGCTGCAAGTGAAGATGATATCCAAAAGGCAGATGCTGCTGCCAAGGAGCTTGAAGCAGTTGCAGGACCGGTGGACTTATCTAGTGATCTTGATAAGCTGCAAGGGAGATGGAAACTGATATATAGCAGTGCATTCTCATCCCGGACCCTAGGAGGGAGTCGTCCTGGACCTCCCACTGGAAGGCTACTCCCCATAACTCTTGGCCAGGTGTGCAACAATTCTGATTTTGTTATGGTTGCTTTGCTTTGGGACTCTACCACATCACAGTCCTCATGCACTTTACCAGAAAATAAGGCAGTAATGTATAAACTGACCAACCACAAAATCCGCAGCACTAATTTTAAGACTGGGTGATATTAGTTTTTTCACATCCTTCAAGAAATCTGTTAAACAGATATATTCTGCTTATAGCCTAAAGATTCAAGATTTGTTTTATATTCAGGTCTTTCAGAGAATTGATGTCTTAAGCAAAGATTTTGATAATATTGTGGAACTTGAACTGGGAGCCCCATGGCCCCTACCTCCACTTGAAGTGACAGCCACCTTAGCCCACAAATTTGAACTCCTAGGTTGGTACTCGGTATTGGTTGTTTCTCTTATTTTTGGTTTTGTTATTTTTGCTGCATGCTACTCTTTAATTGTGATTTAGATAACAAACATGCTGATAAAAAGCCTCTCCTCTGATGCGAATAGGATCTGCAAATATCAAAATAACATTTGAAAAGACTAGTGTGAAAACGAAAGGCACCTTATCACAACTCCCACCCTTGGAACTACCTCGGATTCCGGATGCTTTGAGGCCTCCATCTAATACAGGGAGTGGTGAATTCAAAGTTACCTTTGTCGATGCCGATATGCGAATCACCAGAGGAGACAGAGGCGAGCTCAGGGTTTTTGTCATCTCATAATTAGTTATAGCACCATCTGCATTTCCCATGTCGTCATCTCAAATCAAGCTTCTCTTGTGTATCCACATCTTCTGCTATCTTGTTTTGTTACAAAGGTCGAAAAACACTGAACTAGTAATAAACTAACCATTGACAACTGTAAAGTTCTATTCTGCTGATTTCATTGCTTGCATGGCGTCGTTACACGGTAGCCAAAGAGGAGAGGTCTGAAATTATGATTGAAGTATAATCCGCAACCACTCCTATAAGGCCCTGACTTTTATCTTTGAGAGAGTTGAGGATCTACATACTCATTTGTTTTAAAGATAAAGCTTGCTTTCCATGACCAAGAGGAACCAGGACAGGAAATTCTAAGATAGACAAGCATTAGGTTACAATGGCCTTCCTACAAACGATCTATACATAAAACTCTGTCACCTTTCACAACAGTAGACAAGGAGAAAAACTTTATGGACTTGTTACGAATGATGATTGAGCAGCAGCAAATTTGGCTGTGAAGTGAACACTGAACACTGAACACCATCAGTCAGAACACATGGAACTGGGTTGGGCTACGACAAAATGATATTGAAATTGGACCGTATTTGTTTTATAGGCCCAGTTTTGACCCATTTGAAATCACGAGAAAATGAAAATCGTAATCTTCCGCTCAAAAGGTCCCATCCATCGTCCATCCCAGAAAAGAGACGTTGGAACCTGTAACGGCTACATTTGTATTTTAAACTTCAAAAGTCAAAACCCCTGGAAAACCTCCATTTTCAATTTCTTTCCTTCTCGAGAACTCCTCAGATCATCTCTCTCTCTCTCTCTCTCTGCATTTACTTTCTTCTTCGTCACATCAAAACTTTAATCTTCTTCTTCTTCTTCAACCAAGAAAAAGAAACCGAAAAAATGGCTCCAACCCCATCTTCTTCTTCGAAACAAGGCCAAACCCAGATGAGAACACCCCAATCGAAGCACCGTCTAAACTTCTCATCAACAAGAACCAATCCACACCCATCACCCAACCCAAACTCGTTAGCCAAAGAAAACCCACCAGGGGAACACCCTGTAGAAGTCATCGGCAGAATAAGGAACTACCCTGGTGACCAGAAAGATAAAAACCCCATCTCATTTCTCCAAATCAACCCTGATAACCAGACCCTCCGTGTCCGTGCTGATATCGGCTACCGGGATTTTTCCCTGGATGGGATTTCTTCTTCTGAGGAAGAAGATCTTGATACTTTTTACAAAAAGTTCATTGCGTCAAGAATCAATGGGGTGAAAATGGGAGCCAAGTGTACTATTATGATGTATGGACCAACCGGTTCAGGGAAGAGTCATACTATGTTTGGGTGTTCAAAGCAGCCTGGGATAGTTTATAGGTCATTGAAAGATATATTGGGAGTGCATGGGGAGGAAGAGAGTGGAAGGGATGGGGAAAGATTGGGATTTGGAACTTTTGTTCAAGTTACTGTTTTGGAGATCTATAATGAGGAAATTTATGATCTTTTGTCAAGTAATGGTGGAGGTGGCTTTGGAATTGGATGGCCTAAAGGTGGCAGTGGATCTAAGGTAAATCTTATGTTAAAGCCTTCTTATGATTTGGTTTCTTGATGACTCTTGTGTTTAATTTATGGTTGTTATTGGTGATTTCATTCACTTTTGAAGGGCTCATTTAGGACTTTAAGTTGATTTTTTTACTTTTGATTTTTACATTCTTTTCAATGTTCTTGTTGTTTGATTTTTATGGTCCATTGAGAAGTAGGGATGTGATTTTTCTATTTATACATTTCTCACAAATGAATTTGTGTAATTCTGCTAAAGCCAGTAGTTAGATTATTTGACTTCATAGGACGACTATTTTTTGCCACACTAACTCTTATTTTAATTGGAAAAATGGGTTTGAATATTTTGATTGTGCTATACAAATTGTTAAATTATCTGTTAATTTATCAAATTATTGCTAGTAATATTCACACAGCTTAGTTAGCTTATTTTGCAATAAAAATGACTTTAGGATGATATGAGCCAAATAATTTTCTTGCTAAGAATATTCCATGATAATTCTTGGAGAGCTGCTTTTTCCTTCTTCTCACCATCACCATCTTCATCTTATTAAATTTTGTTTTGTTCTGTGTTTGCAGGTGAAACTAGAAGTGATGGGAAAGAAAGCTAAGAATGCAACTTTCATATCGGGAAGTGAAGCTGGAAAGATTTCAAAAGAGATCCAGAAAGTAGAAAAGAGAAGAATTGTCAAAAGCACTCTCTGCAATGACAGAAGTTCTCGAAGTCACTGCATGGTATGATTTTTTTACATCTTTAATTTTAAAGTAACCTGTCTTAAATCTTCTTGCTAATTGAAAAATTAACATCTGTTTCAATCCGCACAGATAATCCTTGATGTTCCAACGGTCGGGGGAAGGCTGATGCTTGTGGACATGGCAGGTTCTGAAAATATTGATCAAGCAGGTCAAGTAGGAATTGAGGCAAAAATGCAGGTAAATCCCTCAGGCTTTTCTTGTTTCTTTGAGTATATGTTGTTCATTTTGTTCTTGATTATTTCCTAATAAACTAATATCCAGGATATCTTAGTCATTTTCCATTAAAGGTTTCTAATTTACTGTGTATGTACTGAGAATTGCAGACAGGAAAGATAAACCAGGGAAACATAGCTTTGAAGAGAGTTGTTGAATCCATTGCAAATGGAGATTCTCATGTGCCCTTCAGAGATAGTAAGTTGACAATGTTGCTCCAGGTAAGTTCCATTCCCATTGTTGTCATTAATAGTGGTTCACAAAGTTTTTTAAAGTTTGTCTCATAGGCTGCATGCGCATGTTTTTTTTCCCCAGGATTCTTTTGAGGATGATCAGTCAAAGATTTTAATGATACTTTGTGCAAGTCCAGATCCCAAGGAGATACACAAGACAATTTGTACCCTTGAATACGGAGCAAAAGCAAAATGTATTGTTCGTGGTCCTCATACACCGATCAAGGACAAAAATGAAGATTCTTCATCTGCAGTTATTTTAGGATCCAGGCTAGCAGCTATGGACCAGTTTATATATAAACTACAGATGGAGAACAAGATCAGAGAGAGAGAGAGAAATGAGGCACATAAAGAGCTCTTGAAAAAAGAAGAAGAAGTCACAGCACTACGAACACTTCTGGAAGGGAAGGGTTCTGGGGTAACTGAAGAAGAAATCAACTCAAAGGTAAACGAGCGTACACAGATACTAAAACTTGAGTTGGAGAAGAAACTAGATGAATGCAGGCGAATGGCTGAGGAATTTGTTGAAATGGAAAGGAGAAGAATGGAAGAAAGAATATTGCAACAGCAAGAAGAAGTTGAGATGCTTAGAAGGCGGTTGCAGGAAATTGAGTTTGAGTTATGCCATTCAAGGGATGGAAATTTGGAGGAGAATGAGGCTAAGGAGTTGGAGGGAAGCAGCTTTGCCAAAAGGCTAATTGGGATTTATGGTGATGAGGTCCCAGGGATGGTAAAGTCAATGGACCTAGACATGGGTGATTCAGAACCATTTATTCGTGATGTGAAATATACTGTCAATCAATCTGAAAGTAGCAGCATTCAAGGGTATCTGAATCATCCTCAGGCTGCAAATCATAATAATTTTGCACCACAGTTTGGTTCAAAAGCATGTCTGAGCACTGTATATGAGGAAGAAGAAGTAGAAGAAGAGGAGGAACACAAAGAGAACATAGAAGATGAAGTAGTGGAGAAAGTAATAGTAGAAGAAAAGAGGGTTTGCTCAAGTGGGGTAGTTAATAGGTGTACTCTTGGAGATGATTTCAATTCATTATCGTTGGAATCATCTCCTCAGAAATTTGAATCAACACCTAAATGGTCAGACTCTGGATTGACTAATGAATCAAAAGATACAGCCTCTTCCAGACGATTAAGGATCCAAAACATTTTTACTCTTTGTGGGAACCAAAGAGAGCTTTCTCAACAAATGAAAACTCCAACACCTGCCAAAGCAATGCCTGAAAACATTGATCCTCACTGGTCCCCAGTAATGATTGCTTCAGATGATGCTGTTGTGAAAAGACTGAGCAAGGAAAACTCACCAGTTCAGAATGTATATTTGGAAGTTGTGCGGCAAAGTCCAGCTTCTCTAATGGCAGCATCTTTGAAGGAGAACCAAAACCCCTCTAATGACTGCACTGATGCCCAGATTGAAGTCTTTGTAAAATGGGAGGCATCTAAGGAAAATCCTGGAAAGTTTATCACAGCATTGAAGGTTGTAAAGGATGCAACACTTGCTGATCTCCGGAAGTTGATTGACATCCATCTTGGTGCAGACAATCAAGCTTTCACTTTTCTAGTGCTTGGGGTATGTCATTGTGAAAAATCACACCGTAATACTGTCTTTGAACTTCTTAAGTACATATAATTACACATATTTTGGCATGTGCAGGATCCAACTGGGGCACCGGTGGCAAAAGAGAATGAAGCGACTGTAAGGGCTAGCAAACTGCCAATATGCAACAATGGTCATCTTGCTTGCTTACGTCCAGCAAAGGGAGTCCAGATAATAAATCATCTCCCATTAAGTCCCCTGGAAAACAAGCTTCCACTCACCCCAAGCAATCGCTTCTCGCTCCAAGGTGATGATTTATCACCTAAGCTATCATCTCACCTCAATTCCGCTCCCTTTATCACTGTTCGAAGAAACTAGGATATTTCTGTTCAGTTGAAAAAAAAAATGTCAAATGAAGTGCTGAACGAGTATATATTCATATGTGTACTCTTCCTGATATCTTTAGTTATGTTGATATTTGAACCCTTTGTAACAAAATATGTATAATATTCATCAAGTGTTTCTTCTGATTTGTTTGCTGAAGGTATAACAAAATATGTATAATATCATGAAGTGTTACTTCCGGTTTGTTTGCTGAAGAAAAAAAGTCAGACGGACCTTCAGATTCTCTTTTTATTTGTTTAAATGTTAATAACAAAGTAATAATAGAAAAGATAATCAGAGCTTATAAAAATGAGTGAAAAGATAGTAGTAAAGATTTTTGCTCTTGCTGAATTATGACTTAAAACAATAAAATCTAAAAAATAAGACAGATAAATCAAATAGATTTCAAGTTTGCTAAGATTTCTGTTTCCCAATGTCTCTCCCTCTCCTTCCATTTCTCTCATCAGTGTTTCCCTTTCATTATCTGTTGAAATAAGTAATCTGAATTTTTCTACATTTCAAGTTCATTAATCTTTCGGTTTTTCTAAATTCATTATGTGTGTAGATACTTAGCATATGATTGGTCATGAACTGGTGTGATTCATGTATCTTTTATTAATTATGGTTCATATAGCTAGATGTTAAGAGTCACTTATTGTACTTATAAATACCCCTTGGGATCGATAATTGGAATGCAAGTGATTGAATCAAGTCTCCAAACCCTTTTCTCCTACCTCAGACTTTATCTGGGTCAAACACCGCCAACAATTTTCTCCATCAGATAAATATTTTCCTGAAGATAATGAAACCAACATCCATTCAGGTGAAGATATCTGAAACGATTGGAAATCTCAAAGCAAAGGTACGCAAGAAGGAAGGGAACCTTGAGAATGATCAAGGATTCTTTTTCACTGGTGAACTGCTATGAATTGTGGCATTAAGAGGGACTCTACTGTCCATTCTGTTCCCCACAGTTTAAGATACGGTTATATGTCAAAGTACCTTCAGATCATAAAATCATGGCCGTGAAAGTGAAGAGTTCTGATACAATTCAGAAGATCAAATCCGTAGTTCTTGCCAAAAAGTGGATCCAGGGAAAGGAGTACTCTCTATACCATGCAGGTAAACTCCTGGAAGATAACAGGACTTTATCCTCACTCAACATACCTGGGAAAGTGACTCTCCAAATGGTTTCTACTCCTCCGAATGTACTTCCATTATCCTTGAGACACCAAGCAAAGATATAATAAAACTTGACTTGAAGTCAAGTTTCTGCATACTGTCCTCGATGTGAAGAGAATAGTTAAGGGTATGGTGGATTTCTCTGTTGAAAACTGGGATTTTATTCATTCAGGAATCCCGGCTGGAGAATTTCAGGACCTTGGCCTATTATGACATTGAGGAAGATGCTATCTTGAAGATGGTGCCAGCCGAGTACCAGATATTTGTAATGACATGGTGTGGAACAACTGTGACTGTTTATGTGAACCAATTTGAAACCATTGCTGAGTAAATACCAGAATCTCACACAAGATTCATATACCCTATAATTATAGGTATTTTACTTATGGTGGGAAACCTCTGAAGGATAGTGAGACACTTGCTTTTAACAATATTCAGAGAGAATCAACTCTGTTTGCTTATGGGTTTGGAGTTAAATATGCAAATCAGCAACTAATTAAATAATTAGAATTTTTCTTATAGAAATTGAATTTTGATAGGATTTATATGTAAATAAATAACTTATTAAATATTTCTCTTATTTATTGAAAATTTTATTAACATAATAAAACAATTTTTGTAAATACCTATAATCTGGTAGAACAAAATGGTCATTTTAAAAAAGTTTTTAGTGTTTAACTCCTGACTTTAAATAAATAAAAATAAATAAAAGATTGCCTTAACTCTTTCCTTAAAGCGCAAGGAGTTCCTACTTCTATATGTTTGTTGACTTGCGCTGCCGGCAGTTCAGAGCCACTCTCTCTGTCTTCTGTTTTCTTAATTCTGTTAAAATTTTGTTTTTTAGTCTGAATCAGAGGTTGGGTTTTGATCAGTGAATCTCCATGGAATCATCAAGAGCTCGAAGAACCCACTTTGAGTCCTCAGATGAAGAGGTGTTTTTTCTATTCCTTCTTTTAAAAGAGAAACGATCTTTTGTTTTTTTTTTTTATTTTCTTGTACAAGAGAATTGAATGGAAAGACTCAATTTAAATTTAGCCGTTCTGGGTATGTTTTGTTCAATTGAAGTTCATTTAGTTGTATAATTTTCCTCTGAAAATATAAAAGGTTGATCTTGTTCTGCAAACCTTTTTCTTTTTCTGTTTCTCTTTTTGGAATAATCTGGTGCTGGCTGTATATTGTGAGTTTAATGGTATGGAAATACCTGTATACGAAAGTATTGATCTTTGAGTGTTTTAGATGAGATGATACCATGGTTTATGCTAAGGTGCCTTTGGTTGATGGGTTTTATGATTGTTTGTATTGGTGACATACAGTCATTTGTATTAGAGGAAGATATAGACATGGTGAAACTGCGAACGAGAGAATGAGAAAGACAATTGTTTTGAAAACCTGGAAAGGAATTATTGAAGGGATACTTGCTTTCTTTTTGGTTCCCTAGAGAGTATTTTGGCATTTCTAATGGAAAATGGGTGACTCTGGTGGGATCTGTTAGGGGAGGGGGGCTCCTTTGTTGTTCTTTCATTATCTCTCCTTGAAAATTTTGTACATTAATACTAGTTGGTTATATAATCTTGTCTATACACTGCATATGTGCAAGATGAAACTTTTTTCTCAAACGCTGTCCCATAGAGGTATACTTTTAACTGCAGCTTAAGTGCCAATCTAGCCGAAGATTTCCTTTGTGGAAAAGGTAGCAGAAAATGTTTCTTCTCTTTTCACAGAAGGATACTCAAGGTTGAGTCTATCCAGCAATATATGCTTTAGTGTTGCTTATTTTTTGTTGTCTTTGTTTACAGATAACTGTTTACTTGAAGCTCATGAAAACAGTGGCCTGCAAAGTTAAACCAACTGAAACTGTAAAAAATTTCAAAGCATTATTACTTGAGAAGGGAATCATTTCTGACAATATTCAGGATCTTTTCTATGCTGGTCAACTGCTTAAGGATGGTGAAAAGCTAGTTGATCATGGTATTATGAGGAACTCCACTCTCCATCTAGTTCTCCAGAATTTTATCGGAGTGAAATTATTTGTCAAAATACCATCAGAGCAGAGGACCATTCTGGTGGAAGCAAGGGCTAATGAAACTGTCCAAAGTATCAAGTCACTGATCCAGGCGACAGAGGGGATTGAATCGGATCGGTTCTCGCTTGTCCATGAAGGCAAACTACTTGAAGAAGATAGGACTCTGAGCTATCTCAATGTAAAGAATGAGTCAACCCTTCATCTTGTTTTTTGCCAAAAGGATGTGCTGTCAATTTATGTGAAAGCACTAACTGGAGAAGTTGTGAAACTCAAAGTTAAGGTTACATTTACTGTGGCTGATGTCAAAGCAATAGTCAGGAGCATGTTGGGTGCCTCAGATGGCACTTTGTTCTATTTAGGACAGCAGCTTGAGGATTCCAAAACCTTGGCTTGTTACGACATCAAAGAGGAATCTACCCTAGAGATGTTGCATCCACTATTTCAGATTTTTGTTAGAACCTGGAGTGGTAGAACCTTAACTCTTGATGTACAGCAGAGTGCTACCATCAAAGATGTGAAGGACAAGATTTTTCAGAAGCTGAAGATTCCTGTTCATCTTCAGAGTATTATATTTGCTGGAAAACGGCTAGAAGAAGGACGTGATCTGGCCAGTTACAGCATCCAGAAGCACTGCACTCTCTGTATGGTTTTTGCCCCCTCATCAACCATTGTCCATATGAAAGTAAGGGAAATTAGTGGCTATATATCTCACTTCACCACTATTCGTAGTGTGAAGGAAATGATACGATTGAAAAATGGAGTTCGAGTGAAGGAAGTACTGTATAAAGAGGCAGCATTGCGTGATGACTTTTCTTTGGAACACTATGGGATTGGCAGGGAGGCCACATTGGCTGTTGTCTATTGAACACCATGAAAGCAAATGTGAATCTAGTTATTTGGACCAAAGCATAATATATCGGACTGGTATTTGATTGTGAAAATTTAGGTTCTAAGTCTGCTTTTGTCTTTGTGGATGGTATTTGTTATTGATTCTTTAGTCTTGAACAAAATTAGCTAGTTAGAATGGTTGGCTTGATTGTTCTAAATGTTTTTCTTTTTTGATTGCATAGTGCTCATAAATTTGAATTTCTGAAATCAACATGAAATAATCTGAAAAAGGAAATAGAAGCAGAAATTAACCACATCCTGAAATCTCATTGCCTTTGCATGTTTAAAAAGACTGAAGATTTCCATTGTCTTGACTTCTTCTGAGAGAAAACACTATCCAAGAACATTATCTGCCGCTAAGAATGGAATGGAATCAGCTTAGCAGTTCATATTCTTTCTTGTTGGATTTTTTGGGAAGTGCTGCTTTGAAGTTTCAAAGTTATGCAGCTCTAACGATTGGCAATGACAATGATGGCATAGGCTTTCATCATTGGTACGTTTGAAATACAAATTTAAAACTTCATCCAAACGCATCTTTTTGATTTTTCAAGTAATCATAATAAAAATTTCCCAAGATTCAAATTCATTACTCTATTCCTGTGTTTTCTGAGCTCTTGCAGAGCATGTGGCATGGTCTGCAAGAGCTATGAAGCCATGAAAACCATGCAAGCGTAAAGCTACAAGAAAAAATGTTGGAGAGAACAACAATAGACGAAGAAGAAATTCCATGGGAATCACATTTCGATGCAGCGGTAGCGCTTAAACCTCTAATGTACAAATTACTCTATTCCTCTTAGGCTTCCATCTCCTCAAGGTCCAAGCTCAACGATATCAGGCAAAGAATTTGGATCTTTTGATCTTGATGATCCTGAAGATCCACCCAATGATCCCTTTGATTTCTTTCGTCGAGATTTTTTTGGGATGTCAGTCTGCTCTTGTGAAGATGATTCAACGTCACGACTTGAGTTCTGGTTCCGCCTTCCATGGCAAGGTGAGTCTCGACCAGGGGAATCCATTGAAAGGTTTGACGAACGCTGGCGCCTAGAATGCTTCTCGCTGGCTTTTGGAGAACCTATAGGCGAGCCATTGCCTATTGATGGTTTGCGCCTTGACTTCTTTTGCTTCTCATTGCCAAGAGGTGGCAATGAAGAGTCATGATTTCCTGCAGGAACAATGACATACCATTATATCTATGGAGGGAAAGCAGCAACCATAACAATAAACTGCTCTACTTTGTTGCTGATGAATTTCATTTAGGTTTCTCCTCGGCGGGAGGCCGAAATCCTTGACAACAAATTTCTTGGGTTTTCATTAACCATACAGAAGGCTATAAATCCACCATTTTCAGAGTAGTAAGAGCATGATTACTGAAAAACAGAAAAGGAACAAACCTGCGTCCGAAGGCTTCACTTGTCGATTAGTATTTATAGGCACTGCTGAGAGCTCCGGCGCAGAATTGAACTCTGTCATCTGCATGGTTTTGGAAAAACCAGCTAATTGTCTTATTCTCTGACTATACATATAAAACATATATGCTTGCCGATTATGGTTTCCTCTTGTGCAATATCTTAAAGATGTTCTTAAACAAGCTTGGCCAACACAAGAAGAACAAATAAAACTATCCATGGCTATTAACACGGTAATGGTAATGCAAAAGGAAAAGAAAATTTGACATATCATACCCAGCTGGGCTTATTGGCAGAAGGACCATCCATACCAATATGAGCAACATGCTTTACATCTGTGGGAAGCCCTATTTGCATTTCTGGTTCTTTTTCATCTGCAAAATTGTCAATGGCTTTCCGTAACGCTGAAAACATATGCTTCGTAGTTTCCCAAAGCTTATACTAAACAGTCCAAGATCAAACATCATTTTCCTGAGAAAAATGCATAGAGGGAAAAACAGGGTACTCACCAAACATGTGGGAGATGTATCTGAAACCTCTTAGAAGACCCTTCATTTTTGCTGGCAATAGTGGTGGATCGTTTGGCAATGTGCGTATGAAATCTTCCCCCACAAGGTGGAAGATGCTTGTTCTGGCAGAGGTGAAGTAAAAAGAAAGCAAGAATAGAATCCACAATCTGTTTGGGTACATAAAAGAAAGAGAAGGTGAATTTGCAAAGCAAAATTTTCCTTCACGCCATGAAACATTACGAACATAACGAAATCATGTTAAACAAAATTAGTTCTAAAAATTGTTGACATATACTTGTTCACAAAGAAAAGAAGAACTGCATCAGCTGATGATGAAAGAACTCGTCATCCTCTTCAGATATCTTGAATTTCTGTGATACACATCAAAACATTCCTTCATCCACGAAAGTAAGAAATGAAATTCTGAAAAGTTTCAGATTCAAATCTTATACATTTTAACATTTATATATTATATTCGAAAATTTTCGAAGTTTCATATTCAAATATCATATTTTAATCCATACATGCATATATTGTTATACATTTAAAAATAAATTAACGATTGACAAATTTAAAAGCAAACCTCTAAATCAAAACAAAAGTGATGCCATGTATGTGCCAAGCTCTTACAATATGGAATCCCCTTTTACTTGAGAAACATCCGAAAACCAAAAAAAGAAAGAGGAGGGGTTAGCTCCTTCAATCTTGATTGTGGTTGCAAAGTTTTTCCCAAGCAAGTAAAAAGAGAGGGAGACAGTGAAATGGGGAAGTCCCAAAGTATGGAAGTGAAAGGAAGGAGAAGTTTTGTTTGGCGGCAGGGTAAAGCTTCGCGTTGTGAGGTCAATGGAGAACCAGTAGCTGACCGAATTTTCAGATGGAAAATCCAGGGAGGTTAAGCTCAAGATCCCACCATTCCCCCAGCGGGGCATTGCCTATTTTTGGCTTTGTCTCTTTTATAACGGTCTTTTAATAATGAATGCGAGGGAAAAGCGGTTAAGCCATGAATGGCAATGGCACCGCTCTTCTTTGTCATCCTTTTCTTTTTCTTTTTTTTTAAAAAAATTTGTTTATATATATATAAAAGAATATATATAAAAACTAGAATGATCATTAATGAGGAAATGGATCTGTTTCTCACAGCTCCATTCTTACACAACAGCTTAAAGGTTGTGGCAATCACCCAGATGAGAACTATAATGATAGTTCACCACATGCATTTAAGAATGGACAAAATAACTCATTGATAATGAAGATTCATTTGATAATCGAAAAATAATTTGGTATAAAATATTTTATAGAAAAATTTAATATTTTTTTTGTTGAATACGAGTTGATTACAAAATAATTGTATCATTTGATTTTCATTAATTTACGATCAAAATAAAAAGGACAAGAAAATAAGTAAAATCAATAATAATATTTTTTAAATACTTTAATCATGTATCTATAATTATATATAAAAAGAAGTCAATATTTTATCTTTACATCTATATGGAGTGATAGTTTTATGACGTGTAGAGCTCTAATTGATTGATATGTGAGTTGGTTGAGTTTAGAAGTTTCCAAATTGTGTTTTTGATTGTTTTAATTTTTTCATTTTTCATTTCCTTTTATATGTTCTTCTATCTCACAATTTCTTTATCAATTTTGTTACCATATCTTTAACTATGAGATTTCAAATTATGGATTGAATTCTTAATTTTTGCCTCAGTCAAATTTTTTTTATTGAGTTATATGCTTTAAGCAATCGGCTATTCATTGTTGTTGACCCATAAGATTGAAATAGTAGAAGCTGGATGGATGGCATGGCTTGCCAACTTGGTAGTAAATGCCGTTAAACCCAATGCTTTCCATAGATAAATGATCTTCTTTTGGATGAAAAACAATTTATAGCAATTAAGTTGTTTGGATTTGATTAATAACGGTTTATAGATACTTTCCTGGGATAAATTATCTCCCTTTGGATGAAAAATAATTTATAGTAATTAAGTTATTTGAATCCAATTAACGACTGTTTATAGATATATGCTTGTATTTTAGTATTTTTTTTATGATTAATGTAATATAATCCTTTAACTCTTAAACAACACTAGTTTATAATTAAAGCAAGTTTTAATTTTGAAGGCAAATCTATTTTATCACTTTTTTTTATCATAATATTATAAAAATATCAATATTTATCAATTATATAAAATATCCAAAACATGTATATTCATTATGAAAATATCAATTTTTATCAATTTTGTAATCTATAATTATATATATTCGTTAAATAAAGATCATTGAAATATTTTTTTATTATGGTTATTAATAAAATTTATTCAATTTAAAAATAAAAATTTAATTACAATAAATAATTTTATTAAAAAATATTTTTTAATTTTAATAGTATTGAATAATTTAAAATACTAGTATTTTTAAATTAAAAAAATTTAAATTAAATATTAATATATTTTTATTTTTTTAATATTTCAAATTAAATATTAATATTCATTAAATTTATATTCTTAAACTTAGTATAAGAGTTTTTTATTTTTTCTAAAAGCTGTTTTACGCCTCTCACTCAGATATTTTACCTTTGAAATAAATTTTTCATCTTCTAAACAAATATAAGTCTTGAAATATTTTTTTGAAATATATTTAAATAAACCAGGAGTAATAACCACAAAATAAGTAGTATTGGATTGAAAGAGACTGAAACAAGGCTAATAACTGGTAAAGGTTTAAAGTCGTTAATTATTTAAATAATATGAAGCTTTAGGAGCTGAGCGCAAGATCGAAAAAGTTAAGAGATAGGAGTAAATAGAAGCCTTTTGCTCCACTTGTGAATAAACTGCTTTGGTCATCAAGCCTTCATATCATCCAAACCAAAGTTAGCCTGCATCAACGGAATAAATTTGGTTAGTTAATTTTTACAATGCGAAATGATTATGCTGTGTAACAAAGAAAGCAAAAAAAATCATATTTAAAAAGGGAAATAACCATGCTAAAGTCAAGGTAATCAAAGTTGGAAGGAAACTTTTTCCTTAAGCAGCATGAACTTTGACTCTCTCATTATAGGCCATTATCTACAGACTACCAATGTTCTCAAATTTAATATTTTTGGGTTCCTGTATTTATATATATATTTGTTTTATAATTGGTTTTGGTGTTTTTTTGCACTAGACATTGGACAAGTGGCAAGACTAGTTTACACTTTATCAACAGAGCAGAGGTAAAACAAACCACAATCAGTAAAAACTGTAAGATATGATTATTTAAGTCATTATTTGCTAATAAAACATGAAAAGTTTCTCCCTTCAACCTTATCCACACTATATGATATGACTCTCAGGGTCAAACGACAGCTGGCCCCAAATATAGACAGATAAATGGTGGCATAGGAAACCAAGAATTCATCCCTTAGGAAGCTTCTTACCAGAAACTTGTGATTCTCCTCAAGAAATGGAGAGAAAGAAGAACAAAATTTCTCCATGTCAGCATTAACTTCTCCCGAGCCAGCTATCACTTCCATGAACTTCTTCCTATCTGGAGCCAGCTTCATAGCAACCTGTAATCCAACATTCCTTCAGTTAAACAATCTTGAGAAGTACCATAACCATACAACCAGTTCCACTCATAAAAGGAAAATAGACATAAAATGTGTCAACCCATTTAGTATAAAAAGGTACTTTGTTCGAATAAAAGAGAGGACTACGAAATCGATATTTGGTATTTAAAACTCCTCAGTGCTATTGTTTCTAGAAAGACACAATGTCTTCATTACAACTCTTACGCTATCACTATGTTGAAAAATTAAATAAATGTTCTCAATCTTTGGCTTCATACATGCACAAGAAAGATGCATCAAGGACAACAGATTAGAGAATGCTGGTATAAAATAAAGAAATGTTCAAATATATTATAGTTCAAAACATCAAAGTCTAACATCTGCAGTTCATGGATTATTATCAGGAAAGAGATATAGCAATCAATAAAAATTTAATCAAATGGGGATAAAAATGTTTACTGTGAAACTTGAACTAGCAATCCAGCCATGAAATTTTTTCAGGGTCTTGCCATAGGAGTCTGTACAAGCTTCTGCCATTGCCCAATCTGGATGTGCAAGTAAGTTGCGGAACAATTCTACAAGGAAATCCATTGCTCTGAAAACAATCAAATGTAAAAATTAAAAATTGCAAGTAGCAGGCAATGAAACATGCGCAGAGAGAGAAAGAGAGAGATTTGCTGCAATTTGCCTATTGGCAATATTTTTACCTTGTCAACCAAAGAAGACCATTGGTGCAACTAGATGATCCTTTTGCTGTTTTACATTCAACCTCTTCTTTCACCATATTGTACAAGTAGTTGTATTTAGTGGTATCAGATTGGTATTTTTTTTCCAACCTCTGGAAACAGAATCCACAGAACACGGTAATTTAAGAGTTGAAAGTAAAACTTTTTAAGTATGAAATTTATTTTCATTAAAAAGGTCAATTTTTTTTATTAAAAAGATCTCCATGGTGTTCAAATGCCTTCAACCTTAAGGGCAGAATAAGGAAACTAGCTCATGATGACCATCTCAAAAGTTCATACACAATTATTGCAGGAAATTAACATAAGGCATCTGCTAGGACAAGGAAAACTAAGTAAACATGATCATATAGCATACATGAAAGTTACTCGATAATAAACATCTTACCGATATGTTACCGCCAATATCACTCTTTACAAGGGTCATAGCAGCTCCAAACTTATCTGCAAAAGTAACAACATAGGATATAAATTTTCCCTATCTATCAAGTATCAACACTGTACCCATCAAGAAAGAAAGCCAGTAATGCCCTGCATAATGCCAGGCCTTAAAAACTGTAGGCATCCAAATAATCCCAGCCTGTCACCGTCTATCACACAAGCACACAAGTTAATCAGATCTGCTTTGAAATACAATCTTAGACACTCCTACCAAAAGTTTGCGGGCTAAATTATCAAGCATTTGTCTGTTAGCAGATGGTTGTCCAACTTCAATGACAATAAACAAGCTTAATTTTTATCATCAAAGAACATTTCGAAATCCATAGCCTGGATACAACCATCAGCATTTCAATCTTACAATCTTTTGCAAATCTCACAAAGACGCAGCCAGAAAGTTAAGTGGTCCACTAATGAACTTGAAGAAAGATTTCCACGAAGATTAAACTTAAATTAGACGCTAAAAGTGAACTAATCTAACAACTTTAAAATAAAAAAGTGATCGATAATCAGAAAACCTTAACATAACAAAAGGTATAGAAAAAACAAACCTATGACTGGCAAAATCAATTTGCAGACCTCCAGGAAAGGCTTAGTAAGCATTTCCCCTTGGGGAGATTTGATATGCTGCATTCCTTCCAAAGAAGGAGAAAACACTGTTCCTTCCATTGCTCAAAAGCTTTCACTTTTTATCACTGAAACGGTCAAATTAAAATCCCAACAATTAAGATCATCCCCCTGAATTCAACTCCTTCAAGATCCAATAAAAAGAAGCCACTTTTAGAACTCAAATCACTAAAAGTTTAACCTTTTGACTCAAAAAATAAAAAACCCAAGTTCAAAATCACATATATAATACAAATGATCGTATCAAAAAGAGTGAATTTCGATCAGATCCATTAAAAAAAACATAAAACAGTGAAAGAGAGAGATAATACAATGAGCCTTCGTTTTTTCTCGACACTAAAAAACAAGAGAAAAATGGAGAATTCTGAAGAAGTAAAAGATTTTAAAATGTGGGTTTTGGATTCTGATTCGAGTATGAGAAACATAAAAACGAACCTGAAGAAAAAAATTTTCTTCTTTAGAATCCGATTCTGTTAAGATAACGAAGAGAGACGCGTTCAGCTGATTTTTCTTTTTAAACCTTTTAACTGAATTTAAGTTGAAGACTCGAACTTGAACTGGGCTGTACACGTCGGTCCGCTAGCGCACATCTGCACGTTTCAGGGTGTACACGTGGCTTTGTCCACTTTGATAGATTTGCCCTTTTGGTTGGGTCCCATTGGTAATGGTCCAGGTGGGGCATGAACTTTTACATGGTCCGGCTACGAGTATGAACAAAAGCTATTCTTGAGCCTGGGCTTGGATTGGCTAAGGTTGGGCCTCTTTTTTATCCAACCCTTGAAGAACTAGGCCAGACCAATCCAAACTCATCCATAAAATTAATTAAACCTTTTAATTATCATGAAAATTAAATCTTTTATTATTATGATTTTATATTAAGTAGTATTATTCTTTTGATTTGACTGTTTCAAGTAATTTACCTTTTGGAACCCTTGTTTGTTGTCATAGCCATAGGAGTAAAAATGTAAAGCATTGAAAGTAGCCATTGACAAGGAAAATGAGGTAGTACAGTAAGTAACAGACGAAGGCCTAAAGAGACGCAGGGGAAAGAGGACAGTTTATTCTAAGTTCTCAAGCTAAGGATGGCATCAGATTGCCTTTTAAAGCTGAACACAACAAAAATTTTTCAGGCTAAAAAAGGGTTGCCTCACAAGACCCTGGCTGGGTATTTGATACCATTTTTAACAAGTTTTTTGGTAGCAGCATCACCTAAATCAATGCCACATATATCAGACAACCTAATGAGGTATAACAGCACATCAGAAAGTTCTTCTCCAAGATGCTCTTTATCTGATTCCTCCCAATTTGGCAAGCCTTTGTCCACCTCTCCTCTCCACTGGAATATTTCTGATAGCTCTCCTACTTCTCCAACCTACACATCCATAATTGAGAGAAAGAAAAGGAAATTAAAAAAAAAGAAGATGGTAGAACCTTATGACATCTGCAAATTTTATTATCATTGTCATTATCTTCAACTATACATTTCAACATGGAAAAGACAATATAGCATCTTCACTTTTTTTTTTCTTTTCTAAAAAAGAAGGCATCACATAGGGCTGGTTCGTATGAATAATTTGAGAATTTTCACTAGCAAAAATGGATTAAAGAGAATTTTATGAGCATGCTGGTACATATCTGTACTTGTTGGAAATGGAAAAAATGATTAATGTTACTGCATAATTGGAAGAAGTTAGCATTCTACTACAAGGTGTGGTTATGAGCCATTCCAGAACCAGACATGTTCCTGGTGTCACCAATAATAAAATGCTATGTGCTTTGAGTTGTTTCTCGGTGATGGACAAGATAAAACAACTGTGACAATGTTGTTCTGGTATTTCAAGTGCGGGGAAGGCTTGAACATCTGGCTACATTCATGTATAGCAGTAAAGTGAGACATTGGATCATGGCCTAATGCGTGACTACCTAGATTGGGAAGAAAGGGGTACCTTTGTTGAGGATAAAGGTTGAACTTATCAAAATTTCAAAATTATTCAGCAGCTGAACAGGTATTTATACAAACCTAAGAGGTAAGAGATGAGATAACTAGACAAGTATGTTTCCAGAGAAAAGAGATAGGCTGCTGGTTTATGTAGAGAATTCAACTTCTTAAAGAGATAATTTTGATACCTTTAACCTTTATCAGAACAACCTTTTGGGGTAGGAAAAGGGAGCAAAAATAGCAGAAAGGAAGATTTTCACAGTAAATATAGTGGTCTGGTCCAGTCCACTTTTTGTTTGTAACTATACTCATTAACCATGATCCCAGAAGATTGAAAGATAGTCAAGCATTATGCAAAGACAGACATGGGGTACTAATTCATGTATGAAATAGGGTTAACATTGTTTTTAGCTGGTGTCTGCTAAATGAAATTTGAGTGGTAATGATGATTACCATAGCAAGAAGTAGATTCCTAGGACTGTGGTACTTCTCCCAGTCTCTGGCCCTGGCAAATTCCTCAAGCCTTTTGGAAAGATCCTTCAGACTAATGTCAACCACCCTCTCTTCTGCATTCTCTTTCTCTTCTCCCATGCTTGCTCCACTTCTTTAATGCGTCTTATGGTTAAGTAGAGGGAGCTTTATAGCTTCCAAGGGGCGGTTCCTGTACAATGTTTTTTAAGCATTGTTTGTATCATTTTGCAATTAAAATTTGAAAAGGAAAGGTCTGAAAGTGGAGAAAATGCCTCATTCATGGTTTATACAAGAGATTCCCTGCAGCCCCACGATGCAAAATGGCCAACTTCACACTACCTGAAATTAGGAAAGAATATTCCCGTTTAATCATCTTTTATTATCCAAACAAAAGGCAGATTAAGATTTGGCAACCAAACTCAACTCCAGGGTTTAACATGTCTGTTCTGTAAATAACCCACCAGGAAGCATATCTGCATTGCATGAGGATGTTGGATGTAGAATTCAGTGGTCCAACTCTGTGCCTTCATTTTAGGAGTTCAGGCCTTTTCCTACAAACGATCAAGCAACTTACAGAACTCAAGGACTAAAATTGGATTGAATTATAGAAATATTTGGAGAAAGAAAAAGCTAACCAAAAACAGTGGGAATTACAAAAGAAAATTTGTGATGTGGGCCATAAGTGAATTGGACATGTTTTCTACCTGGACTGAAAGCAAATTTTGTCTGCCACTAAATTCCATTGCCATACAAGCCAGGCTTTATTTGTGCATAGGCAAGCTTGTCATAATGCACTTGGCAGCAGAATGATTATGCAATAGCACTTGCAGCATTTTAATTGTGGGCATTGCTGATGATCCCTAGCTATCAAGTATAATCTGATTGATCATCCTAGTGAAAATAATAATAATAATTTATTTAATTAAAATTTTTCTGTTTAAGCTGAATATAGCTCTATAATTCTCTGTCGGTCCACCCCCCTTAGCCTACCAATGTCAAATAAATGAAAATGCTAGGATGAGAAAACATGTTTTGCACGCAAAGGAAAAACAAATGTTGCTTTCTTTCTTTGTAGATGCTTTCCCATTGCAACTGATCACTGCTCCATCATCCATACATGCCCCCTTCACCGTTTTCCTGCCTGTGGTCGATTGCAAAGTTCAAAGTTAGAGACTTGGTGGCTCTTTTCCTACATGAGATAATGCAAGTTATAGTTGGAATATATTTCTGCAGGACCTTTGCTAGCAGATAATCATATAACATTCAAAGGTTCCATATGAAATGCTTGAAAATTCTCAAGTCTGCTCTTTTCTCACATCACATCTGATCATTAAGTTTAAAACATCGAAAGGAAGACCAGATGCTATTCTGATGCAACCATGAAAATTTAACCATTAAAAGCAAATGTCTTCAGGTCCACCTTTAGAGAACATTTTACTTTTATATTGGAAGCAAGTCAAGAACAGTAAAAGAATGTCAGATAACATAAATCCAAAAGGAAAAACCAGAGAGAAGGGCCTAACAAAATACTCAAATAGCCGGCGGGACGAGTAAAAAGATGAAGATTAGATAAATTCTCTTAAGATACGATAAGATGAAACCGACTAATGATTATTTGGGTGAAATGACTGAGTTCTTGACATTAACCTTAGTTCGGGAATCTTATGCTGAATATGATTTAATCTTCCTTTCCATTCATGTTAGTGTTGACGTCCTGCAACTTGTTGATTTTTACTTGTTTCGATCAATCAGAGATTCTGAGAATTTAGATAGCGTGGAATTTTAGGTACTCTTTTGATTACCATGTCATAATACTCAAACCATTTTCATGGTGAAAAGCTGTCACTTCGCAGCTTAGGTTAAAAACTTTCGGCAAGATTCAAAGTGTTTCGATTAGAGTATTAGAAATTAGCCAGGGTCAAAGTGTAAGCCCATTTTGTTCATCAAGTTTTTATATTGAAATCATTCCAACCCCCAGAATCTGATTCCATCTAGTGGTTCTGTACAAAAATCTTGGGAGGGATCTTCTGCTATTTACTTTGTAGTTACAGTATGTAGTCTTATCTATCAGATAAAGTCATTGTGCTCTCAATTCAAAGTGACTTAGAATCCAATTATTTGAATCAGATAGTAAAGGCTATTTTCTGATAGAACGGATTCATGGCCAAGATATCCCAGTTAATGAGTGTCAAGACAATTGTTCCAGTGAAAATTGCAGATAACCCTGATCACTCATAAATTCATTTTTATGTTGTGAGTGGAGATAATATTCAAAGCAAACTGAAAATAAACAAATCCAAAGAAGACAAACAGGCTGAACTTTAGGACTTGCTATGTTCTCATTGATAGCAATAAAAAACCTGATCTTCAAACTGAAAAATATAATCTTCAAGTTACAAAATTTCTTTTCTTGTGTTTGCTTAGACTTAGGTAGTTCCTTGTCATAAAAGAAAGTTTAGTTTAATGGGAAATATGGTGTGGCATCTCTGTCTGTGGATTGTCCTGACTGACTGGACCCTGAACTCTGCTGTGATGAAGGCAGGCTAGTCTCCATGCTACCATACATAAGAAATGCAGGTTGCATGGGCGGTGGGAGACTCAAGGAGTTGCTATTAAGCATTAAAACAACTGAAGCCATGGTAGGTCTTTTGGCTGCATGTTCCTGAATACATAATAACCCTACATGGATGCATCTCATTATTATGCTTTTTGAGCTGCTCCCAAGTGTTGGGTCAATCAGATTTTCAGCTGTTCCTTCTCTCCAATTTTTCCATGCCTGCAATTTGATGAATTGAGCATTAAAATATGTCAGTTAGAAAGGAAGCCAGAACTTATCAGGAGGGAGTGAGGAACAAACATACATAGCTTGGAAGGTGCTCTAGCTCCCCTGAATCGTTCATCCAACTGTTTTTCTTGCCACTCACAATCTCCAGAAGTAGAATACCAAAACTGAAGACATCCGACTTAACAGAGAATTGACCATGTAATGCATACTCCGGAGCCATATAGCCACTAGATGATCAGAAAGAACAAATTCAATTGATTGCTAACAGATTTAACTTTCTAGTGTGCAAACTGTCAATTTTCACTCTTGTTAGTAAACTGTATTAAGTACTCCAGTGGCATCAAGTATAACCAATAATGTGATAGTTGTACTTACTAAGTTCCCACAGTTCTAGCGGTATTGCCTTGAATCTGATTCACAGCAAAAAGTCTTGCCATGCCAAAATCTGAAATTTTAGGATTCATTTCTTCATCTAGCAAGACGTTGCTTGCTTTCAGATCACGATGGATAATCCTGAGGCAAGAATCTTCATGAAGATAAAGAATCCCTCGAGCAATTGCACATATGATTTTGTAACACATTTCCCAATTTAATTGGCCACGCTTAATTGAATCTGCACAAACAACCAAGATGTCGATTCTGATAAAGTTTTCAGTACGAATGCATGTGGTATAAAGCTGTACCAAATATGTATTGATCCAGGCTCCCATTGCTAACAAACTCATAAACAAGGATCCTTTCAGTCCCTTCCAAGCAAAAACCCATTAGGCGAACAAGATTCCTGTGTTGAAGCTTAGCTACCAGCAAAATCTCATTCTTGAATTCAAGTTCGCCTTGAGAAGAATGCCTAGATAGTCTCTTGACAGCAATTTCTTGTCCATTTTGCAGCATTCCCTGCAGGCGTAACGTAGTAAATGTAGATCAGGACAGCATGATATGAAGAAAGCATCTTGATTCTCAAATGTTTGACGTAAATAAGTTCCTTCTGTTTTACAAAGGGTTAAGATAAGACAATTTGTTAACTATTTCTCAACATGTTTACTTATAGAAACTGCCAAGTTGATCAGAAACCTGTCATAGCTTTGCAAATAAACAAACTGCAATTTGCATTACGGGTATATGCAATTTCATTACAATAACACCTGATTATACAAATATATATAATGATCAAAATGCCTCTGGTTACCTTGTAAACTGAACCAAATCCACCTTGGCCTAGCCTATTGGCGTCATGGAAGTCATTTGTTGCTGTTTTTACTGCAGTTAAGCTGAACTGCAAGGATTCCAATCTTCTGATTGCACTGTCATCTGCACCAAAAGCAAGAAATTTATATAAGATTATGAATCAACAAAAAGATCATAGCCAAATACTTCCCTGAGTTGAACTAGATTAATTATGCTATCTAGTTCTCCAAATGCATCAATCCTAATTTATTCCTTTTTGTTTTTACCGGGGAAAAAAGGGCCGAAGTCCTGATTTCTTTCCAGTTTGTATTCCAAAACAGCTTAAGTTGGAGTTCATGTAAGGGAAATCAGGCTTCTATGAAATTAATACCATAACTATGAAATCCAATCGTTCCAGTTAAATCAGACTTATAAGAAACTGGACACTTAATATAGTTTATAGAGCCAAACAAAAACCATTGTTCTTCATACCAGGAACCGATTTTCCTTTTGTCGAAAATTGAAATTTGCAGTTATCGGAAAAGCAAGAATTAACCTAGCATAAGAACAAAACTGCCCAACTAGAGCAGCAAAACTGAAAACCGATAGAGAGCAACAATTAACTGATAACATCTCAAGACTGGGTAAAAGCCATACTAGAGAGCTAAACCAATGTCAGGAATAAGAATAAAGCTAAAACACACTTCCCTTACCATCTCGATTCAACTTTGCTTTCCACTTGTACAAAATGCAACATAAAATGGAGACTATGACAGCCAGTGCCAGTAAAATGACAACAGACACAACAATGATTATAGTGGTTCGAGATGTAGTCCTGCTACTTTCTGCAAAGCAAAACTGTTTCAGGATAAATAGAAATTAAATGCAGTATTTTGAATCAATCCAACGTGCAGTTGACATCTCCCTGAGGAGGGAATTGTCCCAATTTCACACAGCCATCATGCCTCATAGCTGCTTCATAGCAATGAATAAATGAGATATCCTACTATCCTTTCCTGTAATTCCTATCCAAGACAATGAAAACTAACGATCATGGAACATAGCAAAAATATACACAGACCTCTATTATTTGTAATTACAGGAGGGACAATATCAACTGATGTTGATGGACCAGGTGGGGATAGAGATGGAGCGTCAATTGTATTAGAATCATAAAATAAATTCAACTCAAACCAAGCAATGCAGCTAGGCCTAAGAATTCTCCCTCCTTGCTTTCTGCCACAGCATTCTGAAAGCTCGCCTATCGCCCCTTGCAAGCAAATTCTGCAATCACTCTTTGAAATATCTGGGGTACATTGCACTAATCCATATATTTTTTCTGAGCTTGTGAAGTTCATGTCTCCAGCAGCAAACTTTGAAGTTGAACCAGAGGAAGCTTCTGTCAGGAGAACTCCCATTAACTTATGAAGCGTCTCATTGAATTGCTCCAGGTTTGCTGAGATGTCATTCGGATTAGTCACCGGAATGGAAGGAGTTACTTCCATAGCGGAGAAAATATTGCGGTTTGAATACCTTAACATGCATACAGATGATGATATACCAGGACCCCAAAAAATGGCTTCTTTCTGATTCGGACACTGCTTTTTAATACCTTCACTGGAGGAGTTGATGCAATCAAAACAACTCCCCGAGGCAAGGTCTCCTCTACAAAGGGCTAAAGCATAAACTTCGTCGGGGCCTTGGCCAGTGCTAGTGTTATAAAAACCTCCATTTACTGAAACATTGGAGTGCAGACTGGAAAGTATGAGATTGAGATTTCTGCTATATGCACTGTTAGCAGAGTATTCGCCCCTTTCAGAGCAGCCATTTGATTGTGCAGTACTGAAGGAAAGGCTAAAAAGAATAATTGTAGAAATCAGGAGAACAAAACTCGGATAACTCATTAGAGAACCATGGCTAACTGCCATTCGATCTTCCAAGCCCATCAAAAATTCCGCTTCGGTAGCTGAAATTATGGGATGGAGACGATTCTTTGAAAGTGGAATGGTGAACCTGGAAGTTTGACCCAACTCCTCATTGCAACTTGCAAAGTTGCAGACGAGTTATGATCAAAGATGTTAATAGTGCTTTGACAGCTTCCTCCTGGAAACACTAAAGCATTTTCTTTCCAGGGTTATTAGTCGCTGTTGACGAAGCACTAACTCCCCATACGTCAAGAATCCAAATTTGAGGTTGTGGAAATTGCCAAGCACTTCACTGGAAAAAAAAATTGCAATGAAATTCGATGTCCCCACAATATTACTGTGACATACCCTTACAAGTGACAGTTTCAAGTTGTGCAATGGTAGACCCAAAAGTTAATGGGCTCAAAAGCTGTAAACCCAGCCCAACATTAGATCCAAACCTCCTTTACAATTTAAAGCCCAACCCATTACCCAACCCAGTAAGCCCATCCTCCCCAAAATAACACATAAAGAATAAAAGATAACCTAGATCGTACGGCTATATACAGCCTATAAAACCACCATATAATAAAACCCTAATTCTCAGACCCTCTTTCATTTCCTCTTCCGCCTGCCTCTCTCTTTTGGCTCCGACACTCTCACAGACTCACAGCAAAGATGGTGAGTCTTTCTTCAATATCTAAGCGTCACCGCTTTCATTCTCTTTAATCTTCGATCTGGGTTTTGATTTTTTTTTTGTCTTTTTGGTTTTTGTAGCCGTTCAAGAGGTACGTTGAGATCGGGAGAGTGGCTCTCGTTAACTACGGAAAAGACTATGGCAAGCTCGTTGTCATCGTCGACGTGGTTGACCAGAACAGAGTATGTTTTTATTTTTAATTTGTTCAGATTTAATATCAATGAATTTTAATGGCAATTATGTGTTTATTTGATTTATGGTGATGGAAAGGCGACTGATTTTTATTCTTTTTAATGAATATAACATGGGTTTGGCGTAAATTTATATGTTAAAGGGGAAAAAAATGAGTTTTTGCTTAGCTTACTGTAATGGGATTTAATTTGGTTTTCGGATGAGTTAGTGATTAGATTAATAGTAGAATATAGCTGTTTTCTTTCTATTGAGATTGATTGAAAATAGGTTCTTTGTGTTTTTCTTGTTGAGTTACTCTAGAGTGAAACGTGTTAATAACTTTCCAACTTCAATGGAGAAAGGAGTCTGCATTGTGTTATGTTGGCAATTTGGTCGCATGAAATTATGGACTTGTTGTCTAATCCTATGTTGCCCAGAGACTGGAATGAGTGTCCTTGATGTTTGTGTCCAGACATTTCTAATCCTATGCTTTTGTCCATTTTGAGGTGTCAAATATGTCTGAAACAAGGATACTATGAGAAATTGAAGAGTTAGAGCAATATGACTAGATCATGTAGATTATGCCCATGTGCGTTAATGTATTTTTTCTTGGCATTTGTTGATCTTAGTTATGGTATATATTTATTCCATGGGACAATATTGAGTTAGTAAATGGATAAATGTGGAGTTTAGTGGCTGTATAGAAAGCTATAATCATGAGTTTAGTTGAAGTTGGGTATATAATGTCTGCAGATGTTTTGAGTTAAACTTTTGCTTGTGGCTTGGCATCACAGGCTCTAGTTGATGCACCAGATATGGTTAGGGGCCAAATGAACTTCAAGAGGCTTACATTGACTGATATCACGATTGACATTCCTCGTGTTCCAAAGAAGAAGACATTGATTGAAGCAATGGAGAAAGCCGGTAAGGATAATAATTCTCACCAGTATTTAAATGCTGTTTCTCTATGTTATGTTATCCTTTCTAATTGTTTTTATCTGATGGCAGATGTTAAGAACAAGTGGGAGAATAGCTCATGGGGTAGAAAACTGATTGTCCAGAAGAGGAGGGCATCTCTCAATGACTTTGATCGGTTCAAGCTTATGTTGGCTAAGATCAAGGTCAGTTTGTGGCGACACTAATGTGTTTAGTG